CGGGTGCCATGGCGCTGGTTCTGCCTCCCTGCAGACCCGTCTGGCCACCAGCACAGGCTGGTGCCCCCCCTGTCCTGGTGCGGTGGGGACCAGCAGCCCGGACAGTGGCCAAACTGTGCCATCCATGGTGAGAAGTGCCAGGAGTTCTGCTCCATCTGCTTCAGTTCTGCCGGGCCTTGATCAGCATCACAGACCTCCCAGCTCCTCCAGACCTGTGGGGCAGATGACTGGGATGCCCCGAGGTACCTGGGGGAAGGAACCAGGGGGTTCTGGCCAGGGTTGTGTCATTGGCAGGATCTGCTCCCATCACCTCTGGCCCTGGGGCTGCTCCCGTGGGGCCACCCTGTGCTGGACGTGGCTGTCCCCACAGGGCGTCCATCCACACCCAGGGTCTGCTCTGGGGTTGTCCCAAGCAAAGTGGCAGCTCTGAGCCCTTGGCACAGCTCTGTCCCCATCCCAGACATGGGACAAGCGTGACAGCAGGACCTAGGAAAGGTCCCTCTTGTCTGCAGAGCAGGACAGGTCCCTGTGCAGAGCCTGGTGCCCCAGGAGCTGCTCCGTGTCCAACCAAACACTGACGCAACCATTAAAGGACTTGAGAAATGCAGGTTTGCTGAGCTGGAATTCCTGCGTGTTTGTAGTCCCATCCCTTGGTTCCCACCTCCATGGCACGATGGAGATCATGGCCACCCAACAACCCAGCATGATGCCATGTTCCCCCCCCGTGTCCTCTCCCCACAGCCTTTCCCAGTGCCCATCTCCACACCCTCGGTGGCTCATCAGGGATGGCCACACTCATAGAATCCCAGACTGGTTTGGGTTGGAGGGACCTCAAAGCTCATCCAGTCCCACCCCCCCCATGGGCAGGGACACCTCCCAGCAGCCCAGGCTGCTCCAAGCCCCATCCAACCTGCCCTTCAACACCCCCAGGGATGGGGCAGCCACAGCTTCCCTGGGCAACCTGGCCCAGGCTCTCCCCACCCTCACAACACAGAATTCCTTCCTAATATCTCACCTCAATCTCCCCTCCTGCCCCCTAAAGCCTTACTCCTCTGACCCCCGCCTGGGAACGGGACGGTTGCTGCTGGGATCTCCAGTTCCCGGCTCTCACTTCCCATTTCCCAGACCTGGCAGCCCAGTTTTGCATCCGTTCCTGCCCATCGGTGCCACCCGTGGGCAGGCGCTGGTGTCCCCTCCTTGCTGCCACGCAGGACACCCCGATGCCCCCCAAAGCCTTCCTGGCGCTGCCGGGCAGGGCGCAGAGCCCTCCCGTACCATCCCCCCCACACTTACCTGGCCCAGGTGAGCACACCTGGGCGGTGACGGGCAGCCCCGCCCACCAATGGGTGCGGAGGAGGAAGGGCCGTGGCCACCAATGACCAAGCAGGGGACAACCCTGCCAGGGCTGGACGGGGCCCGGAAATCCCAGTTGGATCGGTGGGAGCGGGGCTGGGCGAGATGCGGGGCAAGGACGATGAGTACGATT